CTTCTTAAAACGGAAACCTGTCAAAGCGGAAAAAATATTCGGTGCACGTGAAATTCCGCTTCACATAGGTTTTACTGTATTTGAAAAACTTGCAATAAAATGAATGTAAACAGAACAAATAATAGTTGACAATATTATTGATTAGCAAATATTTAGACTTTTTTTTATTTACTTTCTCTCCCACCCCGTCCTATGGACACTAAGAAGACCTTTTATACTATAGATTCGGCCAGGCCCACAATTTGGGGGACAGGTGGTGAGAGTGGGAACCCGACCACCACTAAAAAAATTCCAGGGGTTTTTCCTCTGTTCAGATTCGAACCCGGGACCTTCAGATCGGTAGGCTTATGCAAAAATTTAGATTAAAAAAAAAAAACACAGAAACAGACCGAAATTTGGTGATTATCGATGGAAGCTTTTCATAAATTAGCAATTACTGTGGAATAAATTAGCATAAAAATTTAAAATAAAAATAAATTATTTAACAGATTTTTGTTTTTTTATTTGACTGAATAAAAGGCACGTTCTTACAAATACTTATTAAACGATTTTTTTTCCTCTTATTCGTGATAGCGCTTATATTTCCATCAACAAATATGAATGTTTGTTGTTATTTGTTTGTTTCCATGGTTTCTCTCGACACATGAAAAATCCATAAATATAACTGAATTCAAAATAATTTAATAAAATAATTATTATTACCTTAACTTAGAGGTTTCGTTATAAAATTACAACTTGTAACCATAAAATTCTATAAAGTTTTAAACGTGTACAGTAGTTAGTTTACATTTGTGTAAAGGAGAAGCGGATTTACAGGGGTTGCTCTTCTCTCTCGAACTGCTCACAAAAAATCCCCCAGGTGCAATGTTTTTTGCTAAATTTCAAGAAGATTTAGTCTCGTACTTTCTCGGAACGACGTCGATATGTTCTTAAGGTGACTTTCGTGTCTCGGAATTTAATATTTATACCGAATTTATGGTCTGTTCTAATGGGGTTCGGATGATTTTATAATGATTTTTTAAAAATTTATAAGGGTACAAAGCTAGATAATAAGAACATATACGAGTACTTAATTATAAATAATAGGTAACATTTAAATTAGGTCGATGGATAACAAACAAACAGAACCTAGTTTTTTGTTAGAGTGTGTTTAGTAAATAATTAAGATACAGAGGTGTATTTATTAATTTAAATTAAAAATAATTAACGTTAATCAACTTGTTACATCCGTTTATATTATTAGAAGATACTTATTAAATAGTAGAAAATAAAATAATAACTGAAAAATATGGAAAGATATAAAAGAATTTTTTATATAAATATTAAATTATTCAATAAGTGATTTAAAATATAGTTTACCCTAACCTTATCGACTTAAGGAATGTTATAAACTTTGCAATTCAATACAAAAAGAAGAGAAAAAAATAGAGAAATATTTTCCGAATAAAGGTAGGTATTATTCAATACAACCCTGGAAGGTGGCCTTCCTGTTCGAACATACCAGCAGATAGGAGAAGCTGTCAATACAGGCTGACCCACAGAAAGACGTCCCGAAGCACAAACGGAATTTTATAGTATTCTACACGAAAGAAAATCGTCCATTCAGCTTATTATCAAAGAAAAGAATCGGTGTTAGTATAATTCTATCGATCTATAATAAACAAAGAATTGTGTCTTTTGTTACGTGTTTGTCTCTTCTCAATTTATGACTTCCATTGATGATGAAAAGGGTCTAAATAAATAAATAAATAAAAATTCTCTTTAAAGTCGCCGAGTAGACTAGACTAATATCAAATTATTATTACTTTAATCGTATTTTCTATTTTAGAACCTGATACTTTCAAAGTACGTTCTAAGTAGACGTTTGCCAGTGATCTGACATTTATTAATAAATGTATCGTCTTCAAAGTCATTTTTTGCTTTGTCGTTTAAACTTTAATAATTTACAAATATATTTGTTGAAGTAATAGCATATTCTGAATTAAAATCATCACAAAATTTATCTCTACACTACTGTATTATTAAATTTATTAATTAATAAATACTTATCGTTATATAATAGTGCATGATACTATAGTAGTAAACTTCACTATACTTACTACTATAACAACAAAGGATTTATATTTATGGCTTCTACTATCAGTTAAAATATCTATAGAATGAAATTTTCATTATCACTTTATTAATTATTGTGTTATTCCTTTCGGTGCTTTACTGTTTCATAAAGAATACATTAATGTATGGTTATATAGTAAAATTTTTTATTATAATTAAATAACAGGCAAAAATAAACAATAATAACACTTACTTTTAATAATAAATAACCAATAATATAGCGAAATTATTAAAATTCGACACAATTTAATCCGCTCCTGTGATAGGCGCGTTATCACTTTACACTAATTTAAATCAAAATATTTAATTTATCCTCTTTCATAACTGTGATAAGAGTAGAGAAAACTGTGTGAAATAACCTTTAGACCAACCGGATTAGTTTGGATTAATATATACATAGAACCCTTCCAAGTTATGCAGGGATAAATATGTCGCCTTAACCCAATTCCTTCTTATTGATCAGTGATCTATCGTTTACAACCATTATCAGATTAGAACTCCGACCTCCATCCTTAGATGAACAATCTGATTAAGCATCCTTCGCAGCACGTGCACATTACTATTTCGGTTAACTAAAGTTGATGAGAGAGAATCGACGTATACTGTGTTACCCTGTCAAATTAATGACAACGATCCAGCTCTATATAAATGATCCATTTCTTTTATTATTCAGCTCAATGCCGTGTTAAAATCCGGAACCGTTTGTTATTATTACGTTTTATAAAAATAAACATTAAAATTAGCAAATATATTCAAGATAAAGTAATCATTTATATCAAGAATTTAATATAATTACTCTATGTATACATTTTAATTAGTCAATGTTTCCTTAAATATTTTGATTTTTAAACATACATACTTAATTAATAAATCAATATATAGTGAGGAGATTTTATTTATTAATATTGATTTTTATTTACCAGATTTAATACCATTTGTTTAAGGATAAAAATGATCAATCTGTTGAGATTTCCAGCATCTCAGATACAATCTTTAGTGTAAAATCTTAAAATTATTACGAATCCTTAATAAATAGACGATAAAAATATTTAATTTCTAGTAAAACCTCTTCAGCGTAGAGTTATTAAAATTCCAAATTCTTAATTCACCTTCAAATTGATGCCATTAAAACAAATAAAATAATATATTTTATTAATTTAATTCTTGTGTAGCAACAATATTACTTTCAAAATGATAAATTTGTTTTGTTATTTATGTAAAGTAGATGTAACTTTTATTGATATTATCAAAAAAAAGCCAACATTTTCGAAATATCTCCGTATGATTCAATCCAATATTATTTTTATGCAGTTGTACATATACACAGAACAAATGCCATAATATGAATAGTTAGTGAGAGATGTTATGAGTTTTTTACATGTTATTAATGTAATAGAATCTGTGAAGTATAATAGCGACGTTGTACACCTGTTAGCAACTTTCATCAAAACAAACTAACTTCATCTGTCTTGGATACTTTCCACTACATAGCGGTACCCCAACTGCTTCACCCCACTAATAAGTGGGTGCATTCCACCCACACTACTCTTTATCTAACTTTTGGAGTGGTTTCGGGCGATAAATAATCAAATACGACGACAAAATTATAGCCCAAGGCGGCAAAAGTTGCAACGAAATAATAATTAACATAAGTGCATTACCGCGCTTTGGCAAATTTATTCACCTAGTACTATCCCAAAGCAGTGGTAAACGTGTTTTTCTACTCTATCTTACGGTGCCAAAATCCTGCCTGTTAACTGTTTATTTGGCTTTGATGAGTCATCCAGTGAGTCAATTAGTTAGATTTAATCCGCTCTCTTTGGTTAAAGGATATTTTAAATTATGATTTCCACCAACCGACAGACTACTTTTGTCAACACTGTAGACTCATTCTTATTTCTATTATTAATTAGTCGAAAATCCCTAAAATTTAAGAAAATTTAATTAAATATCTATTTATTAATTCTAATTATATCGATTTTAATCTATCAATTATAAAGGTATAACTCCCCATCTTATATGTATATAATACTAGCATATAATACGTACAGACATACACACCGATAGATGTATGATCAACTAAATAACCAGTAATAATATTTTTATAAGGAAAAACTCCAATTTGATGTAACATAGTAAGTAGAATCCTTCCAATTTAGGAATAATAATAGTATATCAGTAGATAAGATTCATTCACCTTTGGATAATAATACCCATATATTACAACTCTACCAATTTGGAGACTATAATACCCCTATAAAGAATAAATCCTTCCTGTTTGGAATGAAGTCGCATTCCAATTTTTCCAAATTGAGACCTTTCTTAATAAGATCGTAATTAGAAAACACTCCAAATTCTTACGTAAGTCAATTTTGAAATGAAAACAATACCCGAAACGAGAATATATTTTTAAAAATCTGCTACAAAATAGAATAATAATGTTAATAAAAATATCCCCCTTTAGGGATAAATAAATTGACATTAGTTAGCGATTCGGGGATAGAGTCAACAAGTAATTTACGTGTGTCCGTCTGATGTAACACGTGATTTATAGAAACTATTCCCGGAGAGATTTAATTATAAATATTCATAGCTGAAATTATTATTTTTTTAATTGAAATGATCGCATATTTTACGCTGGGGGGGAGAGAAAAACTAGCAAAAATTGGCGAGTAAATTCGTCACAGCATTGGAACACTTTAGCCTATTTGGGCTTGAGAAGTTGCCAAAATTCGAGATAAATTCGTCCCTCTTTGTCTACAGCGCATGGTGTAATTAAAGTACAGAAAGAGGAATATATAAAAAATAAACAAATAAGTAAATAAATTTAAAACACTCACTAATATTCTTCCAGTTGTAGACTGTCCGGATATCAGCTCTCCTGCCCAATCTTTGGCTTCGGTCATGAAACCGATTTCGTCCATCTCGGCTTCTTTGGCCGCCTTCAGGTCTTTGGACTTCAAACTGGATTTCCTTTTGGTCGGCGTGGCCGTCTTCTTGCAACACAAGAAAGCGAAGGCCCTCCACAAGAGGATGATGAGGATGCCGGCCAGGAAGGTGAAGATACTGGATAATAGGAAACACCACCATTTCTTCTCTTGTAGACACTCTTCTTCTGGGCTTAAGGTGGTCGTCTGGTTGTCCCCGATGCTTGTGACGTCATCGGCCATTTTGGGAAGTGGAGGCGATGATTAAAAAAAAATAGATCCGGCTGTCCACACCGATCTGTTGCTAAAAACGCCAGCCGATACTACTATAGATACATTTAGTTGGTGTAGTAGAGTCGTTGCCTGCTAACTCCGAATCACCCCACTCCGCAGACTGGAGTGGTGTGGAGCAGGCGCTGTCGCTGACATTAATGCGCATGTGCCATGGGAGTGACAGAGAGAGAGAGAAAGAGTGTGTGTCTGTGCTTTTTTGTAGTAGTGTGCAGATCTGCCGAATTAAGAGAATGTTCTCCTCTCAGCATTGGCAATTTGCAACAATTTTCTTATTCTCTGACATTCTTACACAATTAACTCTCATCTCTATTCATTGCCTTTTTTATTTATTATTATTTTTTTTACTAATTAATTTTATAAACTGTTTATCAGTTGTTTGGCTTTCAGACGAGACGTAGAACTTCTACAGAAAATGGAAACAAACTGATAAGCATTGCTCGTTTATTAATTACATAATTTACGGATACGAAACGTAGATAATTCGTTAAAACAAATTTTAAAAAAATGTATAATTTAAACTTTTAAAAAAATGTTTGCTTTATTTAGAATTAAATTCAGGTTAAAGTCACAAATATTGACATTTTAAATGCACGTAATAATTTGTATAAACTCCAAAGGGATTTGACTTAGGTAAATATTTTTATTATGTTTAACGGTATTCTTTTAATGATAATTTGGGCGGAGCGAATCAATTTTAATAACAAATGAATAATTAAATATTCGAAAAGAATTATAAGCTACAACATAGAACGAGTTAATGCAAAATTCATGTGTTTGCTCCGCCCAAAAGTTATGAAATGTGCAAAATATATATTTAATATTAAATGGTTCTTTTAATAATTAGCGCTTAAATAATACAATATAATTTTAGGAGAGAAACTTCACATAAAATCCTTGACTACAGTCTAATTTTTATGCATAATTTAGATTTGTGTACAGGAAAATGAATTTATGTAGTGTAGGCCCACCAGTGACGAGTAGATACACTAACGTGGACACTCGCGAGCTGTCCACGTGCAATTTTCCTGATTTTCTTCACGTGTCTAACACTTAAATAGGGATCAGATTCCTATAAAAAGTCTTTCCGGGAGGCATTTCCCCCTTGGCAGATCGCCCAAGTGTTGCATTGCCTTCTTCCATCAATTCTAAATCCTATTCTATTTGTATTGTAGAAAGAATTGTACAATACTAATAATATATTATCACGCTGCTAGCTAATTTATAATGAGATTCTTTCTAATCCTTTTTAAATTCTTTAATTCTTACTTTTTAACATTTCTGTTAATTCTAATTAAAATGTAGCAAAGTTTAACGAAATTTTAAATAAATATTTTATTTTCTTCCTTTTAAATTATGTTTAAATTAGTCAGCAACAAAGTAATGGCTGCATACAACAGTTAAAACTTGCATTTTTAAGCTGATCAAAGAGATGTACTTTTAAAATTAACGCCATTGAAAATAGAAGGAAACGTAATAATTATTATTTTTTGTCAAAATGAATTTTAAATTAATATTTCTGAATTAATAAAATCATTTAACTTCTATAGAAACTATAAAAGTCATTACAAATGCAAAATTAATATCACTGGTCTATTAATTTATAATGAAATAGTTTTAAGCTTGTGAAAGATGTAAGAAGACTGAGAATTGTATTTAGTCTTCAACTTTAATATTTTAAAATATATTTCATCCCGAATTTTTTACAAGAATCCTATTCTAGAAGTACTTTTAATCAATTTACTAATTCTAAGCAGAGAAGAGCATTAAAGGGTGGACACTGTTAATGTTAATTGTGTTCCTGTGGTTGTGAAGAATGTAAAAAGACGGCAAATTAGATATTTAGTCTTCAATTTGTATTATTTTAAAATATATTCCGTATATTTTTTAAATTTCCACAAGAAATTTTTAAAAATAAATCTGTTCCAGAGGGATTTTTAATCAATTTACATATTCGTAAGCAGAGAAGAATCTCAAAGGGAAGGTCGATTCTGTTCATGTTAATTCTGTTCCTGTGACTCTGAAAGTTGTAAGAAGACAGCAAATTTTATTCTTATTTAATCTTCAATTTGTATTCTTTTTAAAATATAATCCATTTTTATACTAAAATTAACATTTACATAAGGAAAGATGGGTAAATTTCAGAAAGAATATTTTTCAAACTTTTACTAAAGGATGAGGTATGAAGAAACAATGTAATCTAGTGAAGACATCATACAATTTGTATTGAGAATGAAAACAAAATCTGTATAAATCCAATCATTCTATATTAAAAAAGCACTTAATCCGGCATTTACTTTTAAGCCAAAGTTTGTTAAGAAGATTAAAATCTTAACAAACTTAAACTCTTGGTTTCTCGTTAGTAGAGACTGAGTAATATAATCCTTAAAATTCTCCTCCTCATTCAATACTTTTATTATTTTCTAAGAAACACGTCTTCATATATTTAATATGTGATTATTAATGTAAAATATGGAAAAGCAATATATAAGTTTCAGTAAAATTTTAATAACAGTTACAACATGGATGAATGCAGTAATGTAATTAATTAGGTGCTGTGTAGAATTCCCACTAGTTTCAAACCAACGTCACTGGCTCTGGTTTGAAGCTAGCTGTTATAATTAAGAGAGAAAAGAATGCTTTTAAACGAATTACACTATGTCATGATAATTTTTGCATAAATTTCGACAGCAATAAAATATTAAGTTGTTGGAAATTTCAGGTCAATGCCTTCAGCACGCATCCACTTGGTTTATTTTTATGGATTAGGATACCTCAATTTGCATCCTCTAGCTCATCTTGTTATCTAGAAGATGAGATTTTAAGCGTTCCTGTTTAGAAAAAGATTTATTGAAGTATTTTGAAATTATCACGCGATTATGCACTCTAGAGATCCTCATTACTTATGAGGTAGGATAAGTATTTTCAAGCGTTACTAATCCCTTATACAGAATAATTGCGATTTCTTTTTTAGGAAAAGTTTTCCTTTCATTCAATCTAGATTATTGAAATGCTTTACAATTATTACATGTCACGCCGTGTCACAACATGGAGCTTCGCAACATGATGCTGAATCCGAATCTTCAATATAACGCTAACATTTATATTTTCTAAATAGGGGAATGCCGGAGGCATTCACCTATTTAGTCTTATGGAAAACTGGCCCATATTTAGGTGTTACTAACATGAAGAAAACATAGAAAACTCTACGTGGCATGTTCGTTGCCCAGGCGCGAACCCACGACCAGTGGTTTTATCCACTTGGCCACTGGTGGACTATTTTCTAAATATTGAATTCTATTTTTGAATATCGTAAAATAAATAGGAATTTAACTCATTGTATGATATTAATAAATACTCTCTTACACTTGAGCGTCAATAGTAAGGATTTAGCTTCTAAAAGTTGCAATTTTTAAAAGTTTTAATTCACTCAAAAAGTCGTTACTCAAAACAAAAAGGTTTTATCCACTTGCCACAGTAACAAGTGGATAAAACCTGAAAACTAATAATTAGTCGTGGGTTCGTGTCACCAACCATGTGAAGTTTTCCGATTTTTCTTCACGTGTCTAACACCTAAATAGCGTTTACTTTCCTATCGAAAATACTCATAGGAGGCAGATTATACGTGTTGCTTGCTTGTTTCTATCAATTCAAACCCTAAATCGTGCGATTCTAGTAAATTTTAATTTTTTCCACAAAAATAGCAATAGTATATAAGAGCAATTTTATTATTCGATACATCATAATAAAAATGGTCCAATTCTAAATGGACATACAAAAAGTGAACATTGAAAAGATTCATTGATAGGACGCCCAGCAAGATATATCCTGTGATTGATTGTGGAATAACCCAATTTAAAGGAACCCAATAAAGAAAAGATATAAGAAAAAGGTTTCTAAATTTAACCCCAGTGTTGTGTCCATGCTTATTAAACGATACAATACCAGATTCGAATTCAATATACACTCCAATAGACGTCAACGTAATGTGTAATATGTAACATGCCATTGGGACGGAGCCAAAGTTTTCATTTCCTCCTCCTTTCTAGATTATTGCACATCGACTTGACGTCTGTTTTAAATGAAAATTTATGAAATAATTTTTTTAAAAATACATATTTTTCTTTAAATATATCATTAATTGATCTTTTAATTAAATTTCTATCAAAACGTTGAGAGTTGCAAAAATCGCTTAATTTTAATGTTATAAAATTAATGATCAAATCCCGTAAATTTTATAAATGACACGGAATATTATCTAATTGAAAATCTAACTGAAATTTAATTATGTATACAGTAATCTATAATTAACAAGATAATGGAAATTTAACTAAACGTTAATTTTCTAGTTTCGAATTATTCTTTGCTTCTGCTGAACATCAAAATTTGATAATTATGTAAGGGAGGATTGCTAACAAAACTTACATCGGCTCCACCTCTAAAGCATCATCTACTTATTCTAAAAAAAAAAAAAAATTGTAAAGTCGTCTCCATCCCAATGCAAACCAGAAAATAGATCAGCTCTCCCCATTGATTGGTCGTGTTTATGGATAAAATAAATAAATAAAATCGATCCGCATCGTTTTATCTCGATAGTAAACACGGAAATATATTAAGAAAACTAAATTTTAGATCTTAGAGAAGCGTGGAGAAATTTAAAAAAAGGGGGGGGGGAGAGTCCGTGTACAGTCAGACACGTGACACTTCAGTCATCACTTCCCCGACTTTTAAACTTCAGGAAATGACGTCAGCATTATTACCGAGATCCTTCTATCGATCATTTCCGCTACAGGAGAATTTACTTCTTCGTTTCTCATCTTTTCACTCGCGCCTTGTCATATCCACGAAATTTATTTTTATTCTATGAAAATTGATTTGTCAGATCAATGACAAAAATCCCAACCCTACATAAGCCTACATATATATATATATATGTTAAATCATATTTTTTTCATAAAAGAAACTAACATGGATGCTTCCAACTTATGTACACTTAGACCATTAATTCAAAATATATTAATGTTATTTAAATAAAATTTAGGCAAATGTTTTATGACATATATTGATTAAAATTACTCAAAGGGAAAGCTTGTATAATTACTTAGTTATGGTTTTTATATGTTTCGTAAGAATTGAGTATAAAATTTTCTTTTTTATTTAAAAAAATTTTACTTTTAGAAGTTTTTTAATCTTGTTTGCTTCATTAATTCCTATTTTTAGCTACTAAAAGTGAGTTTTTCTTCCTTTAAATCTCATTCCTTTCGGCTGCTGCAGAGGATGGATGGTGTTTATTGTGTGGTCTCAGAATAAACAAGAAATGTCCACACATCAAATTCAGGTGTGAATGACCGTAATTATCAGCAAGATTTAAAAAAAAATCGAAAAAACTACAAAATTTTAAATAAAAAAACAAATTTTAGAGTGGAAAAAAGTTCAAAATTACTCCGCGCTTTATTTTTAATTAACGGAAATTATTCAGTAATTTTTTTTATCGTTTTACGTTGCTTTAATGGCTTGATTCTTTGTTTACGTTCGTTTAAAATTAAATTCTTATGACCGAAACTATATACAAAGGAAAAAAAATAAATAAAAATAAACTAAGAAAAAAGAAATCTATAGGTTAATTTGAAGCTAAGCTTTTAACTTTTATAAGATTTTCTTTCCTAAACCATATTATAAACTCTTCTTTGTAACTAAATAAAATTGAAAAAAAAAATCATTTTATGCTTACACTTATTCACTTTCTAACTCAATAAAATCGCATTTTATATCTAAAAACAGTGTAATATAATCTTTAAATAACGTTAATTAAGCAATTTAACTTTCAAAATATCATTAAATTTTACTTTAATTAACCATATTAAACGCCTTATACACTATTATAATAATAATCAAACAAGATTTATATCTAAATTTAAAAATTTAGAAACGAATTGCTTAACTTTCCCGGCAACATTTAAAACTGCGTGTGGCGCCATCTGTTACGATATTTTATTTTAAAATATTTTTATATTTTTAATTATAATAAAATGACAAAAAGCTTAATTTTGAGGGAGGGTATGAATGGGTTTTATAAAAATTTGTAAATACAGGTCTAATAACGAGTAAAATCGTCATTAAGTCCGACCCTATTCGATATATTAAGAGCCTCTTTATCTCCCCACCCTCTCGACCTTTAACAACCAAAATTTAATAGCATCAATCCCCCTAATACACAAATCTCCCTGCAAAATTTCAGAAATTTTCGACAAAAGGCACAGGAGTTATTAAGCTTCAAAAAGAGGGTGAACAAAATTATGCCCCCATACACACATACTAACACCCATACATACGGAAAACCCCGCAAATTTTTTGCTCTTCTCGACGTTACAAGGTCCCCCGAGTCCAACATTGGAGAGGGTCATTTTTTTGAGCGATCGCCATACTTTTCCTCTGTTATATAGGCTATAACAGAGCCGGAATAGTAAAAATTATACGTATTTATACAAGAATTTTTAATAAAAAAATAAATATTTTAGACCTTTAAACGCACTTATACACTTTAAACAGCTGTATAACGTAGGCTTTAACAGCCTTAAAGCATGGAGCCAAATTGTAACCAAGCTTAAATGATTACAATTACTTAAATCTGTTTGTTGTAATTTATTTTATTGGAATGTTTACGGATGGGCGATTGGGAAGGAACATATTCTATAGAACATAATTGACAAATGAGATTCGGGTCTGCTTCGATAGTAATCTTTAAAATATCGATCGAAGTTCTTCCATCTGTCAAGTCAACTGTCAGTAGAAGTAAAGGAATCTGGATGCAGCTGCATTATTCACTTGTTCGAGACGAGAAAAATGAAAAGAGGAGAAGACAATTTTATCTTTCAATACCAGAGATTGTTTATATTCATAAAAGCAATTCATACTTTTAGATTTCTATTAAGTTCTTTTTCATTTTAAAGAATTAATTATATAGAATTTATTATTCAAATCTCTTAAACTTATTTAAATAAATATATTTTTTCCTCTAATAGAAATCTTTGAAAAGAAGCTAAAAATAAAGAATAATATGGAATAATCTTTCTATAAATTGAGGAAATGTTTCTTTAGTTTAAAAAATATACATATTTAAATATATTTTAAAGTAAATTTAGTTGCTATTTATTTATATAGCTTACTCCCAAAATATATGAAGACGATGTTTGGTTAAGTTAAGAATAATCTTTGCCACAATTAACCACAATTTAAATCTGAAATGTTCTTTTAATTTCTTCATAGACAAAAATAGCAATCGCCTGGGGCCCCAAACCAATCTTTTATAAGAAAATATTTCTTCTAAAACATCCTTCCGAAGAAAAATGACTGAAGTCAACACTGAAATTCGGGCCCTATAATTCAAATTCGCCTGGGCCCCATAAAGTTATAACGCGCCTTTGAATTCCTTAACTGTTGTGTGCAATAAGAGGGCTTTTTGAAATTCATTGTGAATTCGGTCAGGTAGCCGCGCGGTGAAGAACGGAACCCGAAAAAAAATATTTGGGTCAGACCATTCCCGAAAAATTCGTGGAGTTTTTCGTCTCCAGATTCGATCACGGGTATCCCAGAGCAGTAGGCTAAGGCCTTAACTTCGTACTAAGGCCTTAACTTCTTTAAATCTAAAGTTTTACAACAGTTTAATGGAAATTTTTAAATAGAAAAATATATTTATTACCTATCAGTTATTATAAATGCAGTTTTTATTCACAAATTAATTATCAGCATAATTATACGCCATTAAATTCCTTTTACATAGTATATAACAAAACGTATTGAAATGTCATTTGAATAATTTAATTTACAATTTTTTTTTATAGGAGCGGAGTCTCGTAAACAGTTTGACAACATTTTAGACAGTATCCACGTGCAAATAAATTTCATTGAGGAGAACATGAAAACGTGCTTACTTCTTCAGCGGGAGGTTTTCTACTTTCACACTTTTTCTTCCGGTTGATGTCGATGGCTACCGATATAATATCGTTACCTAAAAAGTAATCGGTGGCAACGATGTTCGAAAACTTTCCCCACATATCTCTAAACCAATCAGTGATGTTACGATTGACAAAATCTGCCAAAACCCTTAATCCCTGATCTGGATGTTCGAGTATATACTTCATATCTGGAGTCAGTTCTGCCATTGCCGACCATAGAAAAGGTGGAACTTCAGACCTATTATAAAAGGCAGAAAAGAATTCTTTAAGGTCTTCTACCTCTAGAACATCTGGCCAGATTTGGCATAGTGATGGCCAAAGTTTTGGATCCGAAATTTTAGCCTGATTAAAAGTCACTAAAATCCGATAAGGGCTGTCCAGGATATCTCCTAGCTTCAACTTGCTCCCTTTTGGTATTAAATACGGGTTTAATTTACTTTTAATAAAATTAAGTAAGTCTACCTGAACGTTTTCATGATCCGGATGCCTGTGAAAATCTAAGATAACAATTTCTTTGGTGGTTTCAACAAAATCAAGAACGTCAGATAGAACTTCTTCCAATGTGTTTTTGGTAATGATACTACCGTGCTGTATAATAAACTGATGGTTAACACGAGCCACTCTCAAATCAAAGTAGCGAATTCCATAAGTTAACTGATTAAAAATTCTTTCTTCTTGAGCGTAAACATACCTTGATATGATTGTAACAATACCATCATCATAAGGAAAAGTAGCGTAACTACCCGAATCGTGTGTTCCTGGTATCATCAGTTCCGTTAATGACAAGTTACTTATATATTTTCGGTTCTTGTTCATCCATCTTGGTCTTGTCTTCAAGCAGTTAAGATGGGTTATCTTATCATCTGTTATGTAAGCTATATAGTAGTTCAAACAACCATCTGTAATATTATCTTTGGTGAAGTTCAAATATGGCAATTCATATTTAGTTCTATAATACCCCGTGTGTTGATTTGCCACGTAAACAATCTGAAGAGGGTTTATGTGTTCAATAGGAAGAGAATCGAACAAAGCAACTGCATCTTTAGGTTTTGGGCTTTTCACGTCCCAATTTAATTCTATCTGACGTTTTTTAATTATAGAATTCTTATCCCAAGCTAGAGATGAAACTGATAAGTAAATTTTCACATCTTCCTGAATCTTCTTGCAATCTGAAACACATTAACAATTTATTTATATTTTAAAATATTAAAAATAATTTATAAATTTATTCAGAATATAAATCAAAAACACGTTGTTAAATCCCTATAAATAGAAATATAAATAGAATTCTGTGAAGATTTTTACAATAAAATTTACAGATACAAATACATTTTTTAAGCATTAAAAATCTGGAAAATAGGATCAATAATACGCCCAGCTTATCATTATTTCTCCAACCTTTCGATATTTCCATCAATACACCTTCATTTCAGTAAATATTAATATATACTTACTGCAGAAAATCTACCGAAAAATTTGAGTTTAAATTTATGTAGAAAATTAAATTTCTAGACATATTATAATTGGCCGGAACACCCAATACATATACAGATCGACACTGGTGTTAGTTTATAAGATAAATTCATTCTTAAATTCTGTGTTACCTATATAATAGAACGTCTGCCTGTATGTTCCCTATATACTTCTAAATCAATGGACCAAAGTTTTTATAGTTATCCTCTTGGATCCTGTGGGAAATATACGCTACCATAAAACCTAGAAGTCTGCTGATTTCATCCCTTTACATCTTGTGATAATTTAATTCATTATTATGTAAGTAGTATTGCGTAATAGTTAATGAAGACACCACACGGTCCATGAATCATATTCTTAGTGATGATTTCATAGAGTAAAGGGCCTTTTTCTGGATTTGGAAGCATTGCCAAAATAATGCTGTTGATTTAAGCTGGCTTAAAATAACCAAACTTTTAATATGTCTTTAATTTTGATGTTTGTTCCAATTACTTTTTGTTTTGCTTTATCTTCTAGCGTTTTATTTATAAGTTAACCAGCAATTAGCTGTTATATATATATATATATAACAGTGAAAAAGTATGGCGATCGGTCAAAAAATAACCCCTCAGACTCAGGGAATCTTTAAATATTGAGAAATGAAAAAAAATTCGGGAAATTTTTCTGTATGTATGAATGTTAGTGTGTATGTGAGGGGGGCACGATTTTGTTTATCCAGTTCAAAGCTTAATAACTCCTGTGCCTTTTGTCGAAAATTTCTGAAATTTTGCAGGAAAATTTATGCATTGTGGGCATTAATGCTATTAAATTTTGGTGGTTAAAGGTCGACGGGGAGGGGGGATAGAGGGTGATCGTGCATCGTATCTTGAGTAGGGTCGGACTTAAGGTTTATAATTTATCAAAGCTCATCTCTACCCTTAAAATTAAGTTTTTCGCCATTTTATAATAATTAAAAATATAAAAAGTTTTAAAAATAAAATCTCATAACAGACGGTATCATAGACAATTTTAGCACTTGCCGGGAAAATTACGCGACTCATTGTAGATTTTTTAAAGAAAAAAATCCCTTAAAATAAAAAAAATTCCACATCCATCTTAAATATAAAGCTTCATAAGAGACATTTATAGAAATTAATTAAGACTTCTGAATTGTTTTATAAACACACATTAATTACGAAGACATTCCGAAACTATAAAATTAGCAAACATTACAACAGCAAACGTACTTTTCTACATTCACCCCTAATGTAAATATCACCACAATAAGCAATGTTTGCATAAAAAAGGAAAGCTTTTATCAACATTCATATCGAACGGGGATAACATCTTCATTTAACTGACATTCGGGGTGGAGCATGATGTTAAATTGCCTCGGATGATAGATGAATTATCGAATAATCAAAGAGTCTCGACACATTTTAATTAAATAAAAATATTGTAACTGTCGATAACAAAAGGAGAATTTACTAATGAATTATTTATGTCAATTTTTTTAATGTAAATTAGTCAAAATTACCTTTGCTTACCTGTGTCAGCTGTTGCTCTTAAAGATAGATTATAAAGTGCTTTGGCTCCGATCCAGTCGGTTATCAGCAAAAGAAATAAAGCCAGGATCATCTTCGCCATGTTTTTTTTCTTATTTCTTTCTTTCCTCTCTAACCTAATACCTGATAGAAAAGTTTAAACTTAGTACAAAGTGGAAAATAAAGTACTTTCTAGTTATTACTTTTCTTTAAGGGTTGAGATTTTTAAGAGAAATGAGAAAAAAATCAGCCACTTCACAGATGTCGAAATTGGGAAAATGCACATCGTTCTATTTGATTTATCCGCTGCTACCATTTTTTTTTTACTTATTTAAAAATTGTTTTTATTTAGAATAAAAATTTTCAGGTTATTGTAATGCTCTCGAAGAGTAAAAAAACAATACTAAAAGAGTTATATTAAAATTACCTATTTAATTTAATTTATATCGTGATTAATTGTTAAGTAATTATAAAGAGTAAAATGGAGTTAAATGTTGAATAAATCTTTATTATTTATTTAAAAATTAATTTAATTTTGTTAGTGTTTCGTTTTTGCAATAGATGGCAGGAGTGACGAAATGTTAATTTCCTATATAAATTATTTTGAAATTATAGATAACGTTATGTAAAGTACTTTGTGTTAAAAATTAGTGAAGAAACGGATTAGAAATTCGAATTTTTATGCAATTTATCAAAATTTTTCATTATTTTCTCAAGGATTTTATCAGTTACTTAACGCTAAACGCTTGAACAAGTTATTAAAAATTCTTTCCTTTTCACTGTGTTCTAGAGGCGCTAAAGAATTCTAGAATTATTCTGGAATTTATCTTCGTAGCGCGTCTAAAATATAATAAAAAAGGAATGAATTTTTATAAATAAAATACGAAATTCTATACAAAAATTATTAATTTATATAATGTAATCATTGTAGAAAAATTATTTGTATATTGTATTGTATTGTACTGTAGTAAATTCTAGTAAATTTTTATATTAATTTTCATGTAAAAACAATAAAAAAATTTCTCAATATGTTAAATTTCTCGTGAATAATATACTAGAAATTTTTCTACAATATTTTGAACATCATTTTTTTTTTCAAACTCAAAAAAAGAAGAGAGAAATTGGAAAAATGTCTTAAAATATTCTTTAGTTTGATATACTACTTTCTAATATTTTTCTCTTAAAAAAACCAAAAATTTTATTAAATTTTCTAGAATATATATCAATGTTGCAGCCATAATAATCGAACTTCGGGTTTAAACTGGAGTATATTTGATTCTTTTTTATAATTTTTGAGTTATAAAAGTTATTCGAAGTAATGATTAGAAAGTGATTACAGAAATAAATTGAAATTTTTACTTATCCATTCGATAACAGGATCTGGTATCGTGCAACGCAACACGACTAGTTCCTGTTATAAATGATCGTTACAGATTTTCGCTAGATTGCTTGGAAATCTTCGTTCCATCTACAAAAACCGACTGATTGATGTCGAAATGAAAATACAGTTTAGAAGAAATGGGTTTTTTCGTGATTGTTGATACTCATTCTTCCATTTTTTCTTGTTGATTCTTTATAATTTCCAGCAATATTCAAATACTTCTACTGTGAAACCTCCCCTTTACTAGAAATATATTCAAATTATATTGCTTCCTACTACAAAATCGAATATAATTTTAATACTTTCATACACAAGAATCTAATTTCGATCGCTCTTTATCCACTTAAACTCGGTATTCAATGGCGAGTAACGCAGTGTAATCCTATTGATTTTGTGTCCTTTCGAGCGAATTGGTAGTAAAAATTGGTAATTTTTCGGTCTTTTATCGCATTCAATGCTACGAATTTTAGCTTGGACGTGAACTAAATATATTACATGTTTGATTAATTGTGAATTTTACATGTTGTAACGTCTACAAGTCTGCTTCAGTAGCTATAAACAATACAGCGTGTTAATTACTGCACACGTATTATTCATCTCTACCCTTAAAATTAAGTTTTTCGCCATTTTATAATAATTAAAAATATAAAAAGTTTTAAAAATAAAATCTCATAACAGACGGTATCATAGACAATTTTAGCACTTGCCGGGAAAATTACGCGACTCATTGTAGATTTTTTAAAGAAAAAAATCCCTTAAAATAAAAAAAATTCCACATCCATCTTAAATATAAAGCTTCATAAGAGACATTTATAGAAATTAATTAAGACTTCTGAATTGTTTTATAAACACACATTAATTACGAAGACATTCCGAAACTATAAAATTAGCAAACATTACAACAGCAAACGTACTTTTCTACATTCACCCCTAATGTAAATATCACCACAATAAGCAATGTTTGCATAAAAAAGGAAAGCTTTTATCAACATTCATATCGAACGGGGATAACATCTTCATTTAACTGACATTCGGGGTGGAGCATGATGTTAAATTGCCTCGGATGATAGATGAATTATCGAATAATCAAAGAGTCTCGACACATTTTAATTAAAAAAAAATATTGTAACTGTCGATAACAAAAGGAGAATTTACTAATGAATTATTTATGTCAATTTTTTTAATGTAAATTAGTCAAAATTACCTTTGCTTACCTGTGTCAGCTGTTGCTCTTAAAGATAGATTATAAAGTGCTTTGGCTCCGATCCAGTCGGTTATCAGCAAAAGAAATAAAGCCAGGATCATCTTCGCCATGTTTTTTTTCTTATTTCTTTCTTTCCTCTCTAACCTAATACCTGATAGAAAAGTTTAAACTTAGTACAAAGTGGAAAATAAAGTACTTTCTAGTTATTACTTTTCTTTAAGGGTTGAGATTTTTAAGAGAAATGAGAAAAAAATCAGCCACTTCACAGATGTCGAAATTGGGAAAATGCACATCGTTCTATTTGATTTATCCGCTGCTACCATTTTTTTTTTTTTTTACTTATTTAAAAATTGTTTTTATTCTATAAAACTGTTGAGGGATAGGAAAAACGTAAACGAAGCAATCAGGCCCTCAATAAACTTGAGAAATTTACTTTAACAAGCAAGCAAAATACATTTAAAAAACAACTTAAATTTCAAGTTTTTTTAAAGTGACAAAAGTATTGTATGCAATNTTGCAGTATACTGTAAACACATCTTTAAATCATTAAGGAAATTATTATATTAAACAAAGTAATGTAAAGTTTTATAATGGGTGAATATATTAACTTCCTTAGTTCAGGAATTTCGGCGAAAAATTCTTTAAAATTCATTCACACCACTCTTTTAAAATATATAAACTTACAAGCTAATTTTAAACTCGAGTAGTAAAATGTTACGTAATTAACTTTAGCATTATTAAAAATAGAAATTCTGGCGTTAATACAAACAAAATTATATTAATGATAATAATTTATAAATTCATTCACCTCGTTAGGTAAAGCGAGTAAATGAATGAAGGATGTTAAATTTTCATATGTTTGATTATTAAAGCGTGCCACAGAATTTTTTTCTTTAACGGGAATTTTTCACGTTTAAAACTTAAAAATAGTATTTGTTTATTATAATAAATGCAAACTTAAGCATATTTTCTAGGGCTTAGCGTAGCAATTTTGCAAAATTTATTTATAATTTGAAAGTTTCATATTAAAGTAGATGCAAATTCTCTGGTGTTCATTCAACAATTTATAAAGTGTAGGAGAAATTTGAAATTATTTTTAAGACAGATTAATTCCTAATTTAGATAAGTAATAGGCCGTAATTATGCTAGCAAAATTAATAATGTAAAGCGTTGCTAAATAGGATTAAAATTAGATAATTTAAAGTTTAGAACAAAGAGAATCAACCGTTCACTTCGATAAGATAATTAACTGGCATAGATTATCAATAATTTAAATTTGCAATTCAGATTTACTTCTAACCAAATTTGCTTTTATTGGGTCCAATTTTAGGATTTTGAATGCCTCAAAATCTCTCCAATTGAAGTATGATAATAAAAAATATCATACTTTAATAAATATACTATAAATTTAATCTGTTTAGGGATAAACTCGTCGGAAACTAACGTCGAGATTGAGGAATTTCCTCATTTTACTTTCATTTTTCATATGTTTACGTTATAAATTTTTTATGTATCGATCAATAAATATAAAATATGGATTCAGATATGATACAATTTATATATATTTATTAACAAGCGTGAAATATGATGTAAAAAGCAATTATTCACTTTATTCGGATAAAATTAAAATAATTTTTAATAATTTTAGAGGATAAGAGAGACAGATAAATGGTAAATGTATATATTAAGAGGACCTACAAGTTATATAATAGCATAAATATATGAATAGTGCAAGCTGTGCGGTCAGAAGATATTTTCTTCCCTATGATTGACACTTGTAGTAAGTTATTTTTTTGTATATGATGGGATTTAGTTGTATAGAAGATGACTGTCAAAAGAAAATGGATGTTGCTCGTGAATCTGTTGTGTAAATATCTCATGGGATAAGATTATATAATGAATATCAAATATTTACATGATTCCGATCAAATTTTATGAGAAGGACAAAAGTTGGATGAAGTTTTCCTGTTAAAAGTAGTAAAGAAACTTTCGATATGCAATGTTTAAACGAGTGAATCTGAAACAGTGTAATAAACAAAGGCTTGTTTATACAATAAGATCCTCTAGAAGCGAATAAAAGATACAGAAAAAAAATTAAATGTATTGAAAATTTCTTAATTAATTAGTTCCTTAATACGAAAATAATCATTTCGATTTCAGGCTTTTATAAGGCTTTTTCAGGCTTGATTTCGATGGCTTAAAAACTTTAGTTCTTGAAAGCTCCTTATAAACTTTACGAAATTCATTGCTATGAAATAATTAAATAATAATTTATATCAAAATATTTTGATTAAAACATTAGATCAGATATTTAATACAGATCTACAGCTGAAAAAGGTTTTTGCATTGTTGCAATTTTACTTCCTTGTAGACAAGTAAAGTAGCATCTCCAATAATGGCCATCTCCTCCGTTTCTTATGTTCCCATCAGTGGCCGTTATTCAGAGGTTTGACCTTATAAAAACTTAAGCAAGAATTTCAATAGAATTAATATGAAATATATTTTTCTCCTTAAAATTTTCTACTGTGAGTTACCACGACTTCGATTTTAACACGTGTTTAAATACTATCATGCTTACATAAACACTAATACAGTTGAGCCAGCAACCTATGTAAACGTATTAAGTACTGTACGTATTTAAAAAAAATGCTTATTAATTGATTTCTGCTCGACCAAAAACTATCAATTTATTCTTTATATAACTATATTTTAAACTATATTTAAATAAATCAATATTACAGTAAAATTAACAATAGACTAATTACTGAAAGCGAAAACAATGTAACTTACTGCGGTGGAGAGAAGTATAAAGGTAATTTTCAATTCTGGCATTTATAGAAGAGATATATACGAGAGACAAAGGTGATGTATTTGACGGTTGGACAATTGTCTTGTCCAATAGATAATTGTCATCGAACACTCCCATTTACCTCGTGAACGAAGTACAGTACACGTTACGTTTTTTCGTAAATAGTCACAAATATTTACAAAGAGATAGTCATTAGTTGAGCTTATAGAAAAAAAAAATAAACTGTCCTTGAAGCGACTGGCAACAAGAAAATCATGTGATTGCAGCACTACTAGGTTATTACTGGTCATATGTGTGCTGCGAGCGATGAATCATCATCGAGTTTGACGTTCTTTCTGTTTCATTTTGTATTGTATATAGGCTACATTAAGCAATATTAATATTATTTTATAAAATTAAAATTAATATTTTAGCATATTTTACTATATAATGTTGCTCGGTTCATTATAAAACAATGTCTAATCGTTTCATATGTCACACATGAAATCTGATCGCGTATTAGATATTTTAATAGATAAAAATATGTTAATATAAACAATATTAATTTGATAATGATATAAAGTCTGTATTTAGTTATGTAATTTAAATTGCGTTTTACGTAAAAATCTCTCCTGTACGCGACTTTGTTCCTTCAAACACTAATAACAATAAAGCTGTTTCCTGTAAACAAGGTGAGTTAGACATTATATATGATGTTTTACGTAACAAATATATATATAATTTTTATATTTATATATATAAAACAATCTTTAGCTATTTTTTATACTTGAGATATTCTAGAATATACCATAAAGTAATATAAAACAAGATATTTTATTTTATAAACACTGCAGAAACTAATTAAGATTCTATAAGATAAATGGACAGTGGAGTAAATACCGGTAAATAAATAAGTACAGGAGAAAGACTTAAATGTGACAAAAGCACTTATATACATGTACTGTACACTAAGAGTTTACTCTTCATTAATAGCGCTAGTGTAAATAAGAGAAAACTCATCACTTGTATAGTGTATGTGCATCCACATTTATAGGTATATACAATAGTACAGGGCTGTAGAATAGAGCGGGCCTCTTTAGCCATTGTTTTTTTTCTTTTTTGCAACAAAGGAAATAACGTAAATTCTTTCTTTATTAATAAAAAGCAGTCTTAAAATTTTATTTTCTGTTAATTTTATAGGGATAGGAACTACTAAGGGCCCTAAGTTCTTCCAGCTCCATCTTCTCGAGGGCCCTGTACAGGAGTGAATGTAGGTTTGCACGTTCTAATTCAGGCCTCCCCTTAATATCGTTTCTAATTACACTATTGTATACGGAAGAGTTATTTTAGATCCTAAGTTTATTTCTGTATACAGTATTCTTATATTCTCTTTACTTAAAGTCTAATTGTAAAATTCTCAAAATGTCTATACACAAGAAAACACGAGAATAGAAATTATTATAATAGGCTTCCTATAAAACGAGATAAAGATATCTAAAGTTCCTTTTAATGGAATGAAAATGTAGGATGTCAGTAGTATGTTGACACTAACGATTACAAGTATAATAGCGTCCAATAAAAAGCGAGTATTTGAATCACGTGACATAACGTCATATCTAGCAATTGAAATATAACTAATTGGCCACTGTTGTATTTCCACTGCTGTCATGCATATGACGTCATGTCAGGTGATTTAAATCCTCGTTTATAATTGGCTACTATTTTATTTGAAAGTTGTTATTTGAAAGCTTTGGTGAAACAGTATTTTAGAAAGTGTTTATTTAAAAATTTCTTCATTTCTTATCACAGATTCACACTCTTGTATTATTTTTTTTAAATAAATAATATTTTCATAAGAGCTCTGTTGTAGATAACCGTTTTATAAATATAAAATACCACAGGAATATATTTTAAAGTGAGAACATGAAAGGAAATTGATAGAAAAAACAATTCTCTAGAGAACAATAATTTGATGATTATGGCATAAATTAATCTATAAGTAGAATCTAAAACCGAATAATCGATCCCAGAGGCTTTATTTTAATTAACAGCTCACTAGAGATTCTAAATATAGCCAAAATAGATAATTTAATTTATCAGTTTAAATAGTTTTGCATCAATCATCAAAAGTGACATTTTGCGGTCTTTTATGAAAGACTATAAAAGAAAAATTAATGGCCTTTAAGAAGAAGGTCTTAGTAGAGAGGTAAATGACAATTAAAGTTCATTGGGAGGTAAAATATTACCAAAATTAACCGGCAAATTTCAAATATTGCTAATGGAATGTGTGGAAATATTGCTTATAAATAGATTACACGGAGGATAAAGTGGAAATTGCAGTAAAATATAAAAAAAAGCTCAAGATCAATACTTAAAAGTCGCACTCAAGTAGCATTTCCTACGATTTAATGTAAATAATCATTCAAAAGTACTATTTAAAATATAAATACTTATGATAAGTATAGTATTTGCACGCACATTTAAGTTAGAATTTACTTAAGTTTCTGGCTAAATATCCTATAAATAACATAAAAGAAAATTAATATAAGTAAATAATTGTAAATTTAATATTACATTACTAATTACATTTAATTACTTTGCACATTTTAATCGTTTTAATTGAGAAATTTCACGTTATTATTGTTTATAACTTAAAAAAAAATTGAAAAATTACAAATAAAAGCACTTAGTTTTTAAGTATAATATTTATATATATATTTTTTTATTTTAATATTTTATTTTTAAAATGAAACTTAATTTGTCTAAGTGAAAATTTTCTAGGACTGTTTACATGTAAAATCTAAAGAAATTTAACGATTTTTATCGCTTATCTCGGATTGATTTCAGATAAAATTTAAATAATCTGATCGTCGAACATTATCTCTGAATGACATAATTGAAAAACAATGACACGTTTAAGTTCAAAGTTAAACATTTTGTTTGTATTTGCTAACAATAATAAGTCAATAGATAAATTGTTTGCAGTAAAATAAGACATACTTATGACAAAAATGTACTGAATTGTTTAAAGTTTAATATAATAATATATTAATTTAAATTTAAGACACTTTTTCACATTTTTCTCCTTAAATTAAAGTAGGAATTAGGCTTAAATAGAATATATATATTATATTATATTATATATATATAATTCCATATTTTCCGTTAATTATGTCTTATTTTAAATACGTTATAAACGTTTTCACTATTTAAAGATTTCATTTAAAATATATTTACTCCCAATTATCATCCAATTATTTTCCAAAAATCGGAATACGTCTTGAAATCGAGTAAAGTATTAATATTTTTATATATTTTATTTAAGATCTTTTTATATATAAAAATATTTAAATAATCTATAATTATAAAATTAATATTCCATCAACGTGTACTAGTGGTCGAGTGGATAAAATCATTGAAAATTGTAGTTAGTTGCGGTTTTTGTGACTAACTACAGTGTGACTGACTATTAAACACATGAAGAACACCAGAAAAATCACGTGGGCTACCCACGTGATTTTTCTGGTGTTCTTCAACACTTAAACAAGGGCCAGTTTCGCATAGAAACTCACCCCTTAACATCTAAATAGGGGTTACATCCTGTTAGCATTCCCCGTGTTATGTTGTTTGTTCCAGTAAGAAACTTCTAAGTTATAATCCTATAACATTCCTAAATATAAAATTTAAATGTTTGACAGTTTTAATGAGTACGTTTTAAACGTTACGAAGATTAATTCGTTTTTACGAAGATTAATTCACATCCTTTCAGACTTGGAGAAAGGCTCCTGCTATTTATTTTTAAGGCTTCTCAGAGTATTCAAAAGTACGTAACAGCGTTATAAATTGTATTATATTTTAAAATAACACAATAATTTGTCAGAAAAATAGATAAATAATACGCAAAAACTGCAATGGAATGAATAATTTGTAACAAATATTTTAGAGGCTGAAGCAAATGCGATTCAAATGATCCTGCTGATCTCCCATTGGAGATCCTGGATTTACGTCATTCAAGATTTTCAAAACAGAAATTTGATATATTTTCTACATAAAATAAAAGAATATATTTGAATATTTTTTAAAGTTTTGACATTTTTATTATTAAAAAAATATAATTTTTAAATTTTTCGATTTTTTCACATTAAGTTTGTATTAATATTCTAATAAATGTACTACATAGATACTGAGTGTTTTTGCGTGATTTATCCGATTTTAAAGTGATTTTTTTTATTAAATTAATGCTTAATTTACTGCTAATTTAATCATATTTATTTTTTATTTCAAATTTAGTTTAAATATTTGTGTTTAAAGGCAATTTCTGATCAATGCAAAGTCTTTTGAACCTATTTTTCAATGAAATTTTTTCTTTTTCACTCTTGATTTGTGTTGTATAAATTCAATTTTGTTGGCAACTTTTATAATATTTATTTTTGTATGTAAATTATTCAATTTTCTACTCAACTCCAAACTTTGATAACACAATTTTATACATATTTCTCTATCAGTCGGCTGTATTCTTTCAACTTCCTATGCACATCTTATCTTCTTCCGTGCATTCCAGATCTTTATATTCAACTCTTATCTCTTCTACTTGTCATTCAACTTTGAATATGCTCTTGTCAGCCATATTTTCTTAAGAATATCTATTCTAAACTGATCTTGATAACTTTAAATAATTTCAAAATTAAATTTTGTATGTATATAATATTTAAAATAAACCATTTAATTTTATAATTAGAAACCAATCTATCTTGTAATTCAATTAAATTTAAAGCAATATTCGAATTTTTAAATTTTTACTGAAGAGGGGTTTTTATAATCTTATCGCAAGTGTTCACTAATGTCGGGTTAATGAAAATACTGATAGTTTGTCGTGGGTTCGCGCCTCACCGAGGAACTGGTTATAACGGTTTTCATCATGTGTCTAACACCTAAATAAGGGTCCGTTTTTCATTAAGAACACCACCTAAATAAAGATTAATTTCCCATAAAAAATACCTAAATAAGGATCAGTTTTTTCATAAAAATACCTCCAGAGTATCGTCGGCAGATCGCTCAAGTGTTGCTTATCCTACTCATCTTCGGCAAGGTCCACAATCGACCGACTTGGTGAGGAATGGAGCCCAAATATATCCGAAACAGACCACCCCAAAACTTACTGAGGCTTTACGATCGCTCAAATTCGGTCCCGGATCCCCCATAACGTTAGTCTGATGCCCTAAGCCGCCTTTGATATCATTGCACATTATTTTCTTCATAAATTATTTTACTTAATGTAAATGCGATGACATTTATGTAAAAAC